GAACCGGTGCGAACCAGCTGAATCCCACCGCTGGGTCTAAGGTTATAGTATATAATATAATTACAAGTAAATCATTCCTTTTTTGATGGAGATTTTGTTTTAAAGTATTCTAAGGATTAAATATTTATTTTTGTTAAGAATTAGGCCTGTGTGGTGTGATTCCCCATATGGTGTTAAAGTGAGTATCATAGATCTTTCTAGTGATGAAGTGGTTTGTAGCTAATATCCTTTTTTAATTGAAAGAAGATTTATTATTGAACTATTCAATAAACTAAATCTTTATAGCTTTTATTTCTGATTTTTCTTCCTCAATAATTAGTTTATCTTTGAAGATTATTTGTCACAGTTTAAATATTTTAGTTCTAACTGCTCAATAGATTTGCTTTTGATAGTGATGAAAATGGAGAAGAAAGAAACATGGAAGACAACAAGAGGATTATATCTCAGCAAAAGGTTAGTCATTAGGGTTGGACGACTTGTGTTAGTTCAAGAGAAATTAGAAGAAAAAAAAAGAAGACATTCTTTATATAATGGTGGGCCACAAAATCCACCAAAAAAAAGCTTTAACTCTCTCATTACAGGCTCAGTCCTAGGGACCAACCTTGTAATCATTTTGTGCTTGTTATAATTTTCACACCATAACTTTTAATACAACATGCGTATCTTCATGAAATTTGGCAGATTATATGTAAATGTTGCAAGGCTTTCACACACAAAATATTATATTTTTTTATTAAGTTTTAAGATTTGTTAAGTAATGATTTGCTCATGCATTTTTTATTTTCGAATGTTGACTCCTCAACTTGCAAATTAATATTGATTTTAATATTAAAAATACTTATATGCATCAGAAAATTATCAAATTTCACATGCAAAATTTTTATAACCTCCTAATAACCAGAAGATAATTATCAAGCATTTTTTAAAGCAAACACTTTATATTTTATCTGTTATTTCCATTATTGTATCTCTGTATGGGTTTGTTCAATTTTACCAACCTTATAACCACTATAAAAAATTAGGAAATAGATATAAATTATGCTTTTTTCATTCTTGAATGACTACAAATTATAACACAAAACCATAAGTGTTTTGGCTAAATAACTTAAATAAATTTCATAACACATAAGTGTATACATATATATATATTATTTTTAATTATTGACCTTTTAGTCATGTCTGACTAACATTACAGAATTTCAATGACATGTGGCATGTGCACTCATGTTACTGTAGTATATTACTGACCTCTACAAAGTGACTGTCTTGACTTTATTTTAGTGGACTAGTATTTTATAAAATATAGTCTCATTTTAGTTACTATACATTACATATGTATACATATTATTACTATTTACAAATAAATTGTTAAATTTCAGTTATTTTACTTAAAATATAGAACAGTAAATAAAGAAATATAGAAAATAATTATCTCTACTACTTATGATTGTAAAGAGGTTTGTACTAGCTTGTCGTACCTTGCCTGCTAAGCCTTGCCGAATTTTGTGTGTGGAGGATGTAAAACAAAATAATTTGTTTAGATCTGATATATATACATTTTGATATAACAAAAAATTGTATGTTACTTTATCATTATTGCAGAATTTCACTGTTATTTATCAGACTTACTAACAACTGTACTTGGGTCTAAAAAAATATTGTTTTTCGAACAACATTTTAACTTACCCCTTCCTTCCAAGATTCAAGACAAAAGAAATAATCTTGAGTACTTCCCACCTTCCAGAGGATGAGAAAACCATTTGGAGAAAATTCTGAGCCTTTGATTGGTTATAAACACATGACAGAGGGAAGTGGGTGAACATGAGGAAATATTTCAAAAAATGGAAGAGGTGGGTGGGGCCACTGTATTTGATTTGCTAAATATAGTGATATCTAAGAGAAAAGAAAATATAGGAGGTTCTTATTTTATATTGTTGCTTGTCAATATTGGTAATTTGAGTTTCTAATTTTTAAGAAACTATGGACTTTGTATTTGGACATCACAAACATCTAATTTGAACTGGAATGCAGCACCCAGGCTACCAGCTGCCTCTTCCTGATGTAACTAATAAATCATTATGTTTCTGCAGAGAGACACACTGTTTTTCTATTCTTTTATTATTTCTCCTTCTTCCAAACACTTTTCAGTTGACCTTCATTCCTTCATTTGGTAGGGTCACACCCTGGTCCAATATGCCCAGAGATTTTTAGCTCCAGTCTAATCTGTGGTAGTAATTTAGGTTTAAGATTCTTCAACCATCTAAGAAACAAAATTTGGGGCCTGAAAGATAACCTGGGATGGTCAAAAACTTTAGTTTCTATTCACCTTGCGCAATGAAAAGGTTTAAACCAAATGGATGTAGAAGAAGCCACCGGGCTTAATTTTGTTTAAATCGATGAGTGTTTTGTTGTGAGGCAAGTTAAGACATTGAAAAATGCTGAGAAAGATCTGAAGATAACATGATTAATGATGAAATTATAATGTTGTCTGTCAAAGGAGGGTTGATTAATTGTGTTGAATGAGTTTGTGTAATATTGTGCAAAAAGTTTGGCTTTATTATTGTCTGTGTGTGCCATAGTATTGTTGTAATTAATGTTGGCTAATTTTTTGGTTTGGGCCTTTTTAATGATTTTATGGGGTTTGAGGTAAAAATATTTGAGGTTCTTGTGCAGTCATTTTTATAGCATTCAAGATGAAAGTTGGAACAAATATAAATTTTCATGCATCCAATACATTGGCTTAAAAGAATTTGGATTTTCCCATTTTGAGTTTGTTTGTTTTGTTGTTTTTTTTTGGGGGGGGAGCTCAAAAAGTATAATTTTGTGATTTTTGGCCAATTATTTGGCTGTATTTTGACCAATTTATATGGGATTTGGTACAGAAATACTTTTCTATAGGTCCCACATATTGAGAAACAAAAATAGTGGACTTGCTTATGTTTAGTAATTATAGGGGGATTCAAATGCAACAAAGAGTATAATTTTAGGGTTTTTTGACAATTACCCTGCAATTTTTCAGCGAATTTACATGGGATTTGGTACAAAAATACTTTTTTTACAGGACCCAGACTGAGGTATTAACAATTTTGGAATTTTTGTCTTTTCCACAATTTTTCAGTGAGGAAAGCACAATTTGGGGTTTTCATGAGCTATTCATGTGTATGTCAACCAACTTACAGGAAATTTGGTACAAAGATACCTTCTTGCAGGTCTTAAGCAGTGATATAGACAGTTCTCGATTTTTCTATGCCAAAATTAGCTATGTTGGGATTGCATGGCAGAGACAAGTTGCATTTGCATGTAAATGTTGACCCCTTTAATTAGGTAATCCATTCATGTTAAAAAAACAAAAAACATTTTCATCTTTTTGAATAAACTTTAGTGAATTTTGTATTTCTGTCATACAAGATTTTCTGAATGGCTACTGGACAGTTATGCTATCATATGATTTATTTCATCATAAGCAATTAAAGGAATTTGCTAATAGATTAATCATCAGTACATTAATGAATTACATTCAACTAATTGATTATTCCCGTGAGATGGCTAAAAAATAGCTTTTGACTTTAAAAATCAGGTTTTGATACCCATGGTGGACTGAGCACAAATAGCCCATTGTGTAGCTTTATGCTTAGCAGCAAATAAACATAATGGCAGTGTTTCAATTACCTGGATTTATTGGAATAATTGAAAATAGTGATAATAGGAAACCATAATTTTGATTAGTTGGCTATTTTCGTGAACCTTGACACTGATTGATTAAGCTGAACAAACATGACATCATCAAAAATAATACTGGCAATATTATGATAACTGAATAGTCATAATTATTGAAAATGGTAATAATTAGAAGAAAAAATTTCTCTTTCATGTTTATTTTCATAACATTTCTGTACAGTTGGATTAACCACAAACAGTAATAACTGGAAACACTAGTTGGTTATTTTTGTAGCATTAATTGAGATAATCAATACTCTTAGGCAATTGATTATTTAGATTAACCCTTCTTTGATAGGGTAATGTGAGCTACATATTTGACCAACCTTGTGTAGAGCTAGGGTAGAGAAAATAGCAAATAAATTATAATGTTTTACTTAATGTACAAAATGTACTTAGGAGGTTTTAGAGATTATGCAAATGAAGTTTGATATTTTTCAGATGAAGAAACGAATTTTTAATCTTAACAGTTAAATCACTTTGCACTCAGAGCAGTCAACACTTTGACTTCATATATTCATGGAGAAATTTTCAGTGAAAATACTTCATTAGAAATTCGGATTTTTTGTCTACAAAAGACTTAATGATTACTGATAGCTTGCAACATTTCATGAACGTATGCAAAACATATTAGAAGTTATAGTATGGAAATTGTATAGGTCAAGTTTGAGTCAATTTGTAGGTCGAATTGAATGAGCCCATTACGAGAAAAGTAATTGTCTAACTCTAATCTTAATCTTAATATGTGTAGTATGATTGAAATTTCACAGAATATATATGTGTCAATTATATTTGAAACATTACACTACATCAAAGAGGTTACACAGGAATGGATCTTCCTTTGAACTAGCTATGTGCAGGTGAATGTAGTAATAGGTGCTTTATTTTCAGCACACAAAATATATTAGTAACTAAATAAAAATGTTATATGAACATATTGATATTGTAAATGGTACAAAACAGAATAGAGTCTGGTATGATTCAAGTTATAAGTAAGCATACAGATGATTGGTACAAACAACAAAACTAGATCATGTATGTTATTACTCTAGGTGTATAATTGTTACAAAAAATAGTATTGTTAGTTACTTATATTATTATTGTAAGTGAAGAATTGTTAGAACTGTTAGTTATGTATATTTAACTGTACATGTATAATTGTTACAAAAATTAGAATTGTTTGTTATTTGTGTTCTTATTGTAAGTGAATAACTGTTACAAAAAATAGAACTGTTAATATTAATTTCTTACTGTATATAGATCATTGCTAAAAACAACAAAACAGAAAGAATGGATGATCTTATGATGGAAGATGCAGAAACTGAAGAAGTGTTGTCAGAATTTAGTTTTTTAGGACCAGAATCTGCTAATGGATCAAGAGAAGCTAGAAGTCTGGGAGATATTGGAGAGTGGGGTAAGTCGATACTTTACTTTGTAGAGTGAAATAGAGTAGTTACTATCAGTGAGACTACCAATCTCTGTATAGGATCTTACAGGTATGTATATTATTTTTGTATTATAACCAGTATGGACAAAATATTTTCTTTTAGTTAGGCTTTTAATAGTCAGATGCTTGGTTATGTTTTGATAATAAAATATTGTAGTTTGTTGAGTAGGATTTGCGAGTTAAATTCACAATTATTAAAAAAAATTATTTATTAACTAGCCATGACAAACAAAACAGTTGCAGTAGTTTTCATGCTCTTTGCTTGAATTTTCGTTTTTCTTTCATTTTCATGTACACCATTTAAGCTACACTTTCTTGGAGGCATTATGTGTTAGGTCAGTAAATCCTGGTTTATTTGAAAAAACTTTGTGTGATCAGACAAACAAACTCACAGAGAAGTAACTTTATTAAAGCTACAAGCAAAGGAAACAATAAGATATAGTAATGGTATTTATAATAGTAGTGTACAGAGTATGAAACAGTTTTGAGCATTAAATGTATAATGGTTTTACTAGTTAGAAAAAAAAGAAACTTACAAAAATGAAGAATAAAACCTGTACCAAAGTCAAAAGTTGCTAAAAGGTTTTTATAGCAGTCTATGAAATGAACTGACATTAAATTATTGCAAAGTAAAGTAAATGTAAAG